CCTCTCTCTCTCTCTCTCTCTCTCTCTTTCTCCCTCCTTATTCCTATCAATGAATCATCAAAGAGAAGGAAATAGAATTAAGAGATATTTTCAAAGAGCAGCTGATGTATAGATTTTAACCAGAATATTTCCTTCACATTTTAACTAACTTCTACTATTTACTACTACTACAACAATAACAACTATTAATCAATCAATAAACAAACATTAAAATGTAATCAATCAATCAATCAATACTGATAAAATAAAAAAAAAAGGAATTCAATAAATAATGATTGTTAAACTTTTTTTTTCTTTTCCTTTCCTCAATTATTATCAAATAATTCTAACAAATAATATTTATTTGTAACATTCAACAATTACATCAAATTATGATAAAAAGTTATGGGGGCGGGGGAGGGGGAAAGTAAATTAATAAATAAATAAAAAATTATAGGAAAAGAAAAATTAAAATAAAATAAATAAATAAATAAATGAAGGAAGGAAGAGATGAAATAAAACGAATCATTTCAATGTTTATGTAAATTTATTTATTTATTTTTGGAAATTTTTAAATTAATTTTTGTTAAATTTTAATATGGATTTATAAGAGTTTATTTTGAAAATATGAATTATTAAATAAACATATCAAAATAAAAATTTAAAAAAATTTTTTTTTTAAATTATTAATCAATTTTTCTTTTTTCATTTTAGAATACTTACAAGATGTAGAAGTGGAAGGTTCATTCGGTGATAGTTGCCTGATAGTACATGGCCGATGCATTCCGGTATTTTGAAATTAGCAAAAAAAAAGAAAAAAAAGCAGTAACAGCGAATAGCAGTGACAAATAGGAAATGCTACTTCGTAAGAGGACTCAAAATTAGAAGCAAAAATTGTTGTTGTTGTTGTCGTTGTTGTTCGTGTTGTTGTTGTTATCGTTGTCGTTGTTGTTGTCCGTGTTGTTGTTGTTGTTACTGTTGTTGTTGTTATTGTTCGTGTTGTTGTTGTTGTTGTTGATTATAAACTATCCTCTTGATGGTAGTTGACGATTGAGAAGCAGAAATACAAATTCTTTCGTCTTTTTTTCCATCAATTTTACCTCTTCTTTAATAATTTTTCATCAATTTTCATGCAATAAAACAAGAAATATTCGAAAAAAATGACGATGAAGAGAATGAAATAATATGAGTAAATATGGGAGGAAAATGAATCTGAAAACGTGGAAGGGAGAGAGAGAGAGAGAGAGAGAGAGAGAGAGGAG